AGGTGTCTGAGGTGCTCCTCAAGGGTACGACTATAGACCAGGATATCGTCGAGGTAGACGAGAACGTACTGCTCCAGGATGTCCCTGAAGATGTCGTTCATCGCCCTCTGGAAGGTAGCGGGTGCGTTGGTGAGACCGAATGGCATCACCGTGAACTCGTAGTGGCCGAATCGCGATCGGAACGCGGTCTTCTGCTGGTCGGCTGCAGCGACGCGGATCTGATGGTAACCGCTTCGAAGATCAATCTTCGTAAAGAAGCGGTTGCCTGCTAAGCGGTCGAACAACTCATCGGAACGAGGTATGGGGTAACTGTTCTTAACCGTGTAGCGGTTGAGGCCGCAGTAGTCGATGCAGAGACGAAGAGTTCCATCCGCTTTGCGAGCAAAGAGGACGGGTGCACCCCAAGGGGAGTTGCTGGGTTTAATGAATCCCAGTCTCAGGAGCTTCTCAAGTTGATGCTAGAGTTCGGTGGCCTCGGGGATCGAGAGTCTGTAGGGTGCCTGGTGGTGAACACGATAGGCAGGCACGAGCTGAATGGAGTGCTCGACGTCACGCATCGATGGGATGCCGGCGTACGAGAACGACGATGGGAAAACGTCGTGGTACTCTCGGATGAGGTCACGAACTGCGGGCTCCAAGTCAGCCGTATATTGTGCGAGTTCCTCAGCGTCAGCGTCAGCGCGCAACAGCGGGGTGGACTCGACGGACGGCGGAGAGACGAAAGTAGAGATGGGAGCCATGGAGATAGAGGGAGGACCTGGCTCCAGAGGGATGAGCTCGGCGTCGGGACAGGGTGAATCATAGTGTAAGAAATCCGTCACGTCCACCATAAAGAAGGTGACRTCGTCCTGTCGAATGAAGTGAGCGAACTGCCGAGGCGAGGTGACAGTGATAGAGGGAGATGGTGAGGGCACTGAAGGCTTCGGGGGAGGAGGATCGGGGCGTGGTGTCGCCTTGGTACCTATGAAAGGTACGCGATACGTCTGTCCACACTTCGTTTTGAGAACGMGAGTGTTGGTCGCCCAATCGGCCTCGGTGCTGCGGAACCGACGAGACCMCGGAGTGCCGAGAATGAAGTCGTACCCCGTCTCCATCACATCGAAATGTGCAGAGGAGCGGTGACGACGAGACGCCGGGGAACGCTTAGTCGGCTCGAGAGTGAGGAAGAAGGGGAGGTCGGTGACCGTCTGATCGAAGAAGCGCTGGGTCTTATCATCCCCTAGGGTAACGGAGATGGGTCGGTGACCTGTCGTGGGTAAGCGGGCTTCCTTCACCACGCGTGGGTGAATGAAGTCGCCCTGAGAACCGGAATCCCACAGCGCTGAGTACACCCTCGTGGAGGTCCCGAGTCGTACGGGGATAATCGGAAGGGTGCGATCAGGGTCAGAGAGGATGGCGAGAAGGCGACGCAGTGCAACGACATGGAGGGTGAGTCACTCCTGACGAGCCTGGAGCATGCTCAAGTCCAGAAGAGAGGACACAACATCCTCGCGAGTAGCAAGCTGCTCGCTGCAACGGGCTAAGCGAATGGCTCGACGCGTCGGTAGTCGCGGCGGGGAAGGAGGGGAGACGGTGGTCTGCGGAGGCGCAGACGGTACTGCGACAGAGGGCTGAGTACACTCTGTCGAGTTCTACGATACCTCAACTCCAGTAGCGAGAGGGGCGAACCGCGACGAAGATATCGGGAACCCGACTACTGAGGAGGGCGCAGGTGTACACTGCACCGTGGCTAGGAGGCGCCGCGGGGACGCGAGGTGCCGGGGGGGGACTGAGCACGACGTTGACGAGAAAGGTCAGCGTAGTGGCGGTCGAGGGCGGTAGTGTAAGGGCACCGCGAGGAGGTATGACCGTCCAAGCGGCAGCGCAAACACCCAC